GATTAAACATCTTCAATCGTTTTAGAGGCAATGAAAATAATAAAATATTACAAGATTTGCTTTAAAAATCAGCTTTTTCGATAATGCATCAGAACGTATTGACACCACTACGAATTTTTAGCACAGACTTATAAAATAATGTAAGACGTTTAATGCATAATAACACCAAACGGATGGCAACACCCATAGCCTAAATATATGCGAAATCCTTTGTGCCCCACCGGTCCTCTCTGCCCCACTCTCCCTTATATATGTGTACGTTCTTCGGAACGAAAGGATTAAGCTTGGTTTACATTAGTAGAGTTAGTAATAGAGTATACCAGCATATTTTTTGCAAACCATCCTTCTCCTACTAGTACTTTGACTAAGCAGCTAATTAGGGTGAAGTGAAACACCCTTCAAATCAGTCGATACGAATACAACACTTTTTTTTAAGGGTATTAGACCAAACTGTCCGAAACTTTGACACATCACTCCTGATCATCTAAGAGTTGTCCTGACACATTTAAAATTTAGATTTTTGCATAAAATTTTTTAACATAGCCCAGACCAGAACCAAAATGGCGTCGAGCTCTCACATTTCAATCAATGTACAATTATCGAAAGCTCTGATATGAAAATCGAAAGGGTCAGGACAATTTTACGACAATTCAGAACACTCTGGTAATCAATAAACTCGCAATTGAACGGGATAGAGGCAAAAAAAAGTGTTGTATGCGCTTCTATGCCAAAACGATGGTAATACGAGGTCTCGGAGTGAAAATTTAATTGACCTGGAAATCACAGATGGTGCAGGGGGTCCCTCTGCAGTCAATTAGGGCCCCAGAAAGCATGAACCCAGAGGATTTTTGGAGTTTTACTTCAATTTCTTTATAATTATTGTACGAAAACAACAGGTGGAGTATACCATTTGGTACAATATCCAATATAATTCGACCCAGCTGTCAATATAAAAACCAACGTCCACAACGGAAGCATTTAGAAAAATCTTCTTTATCGACGTCGATCAAGTTCCTCGACGTGTTTCACTTCACCTTAACCGATAGTTAAACGATTCTTATTGGCGATTAAGGTGACTATCATATGAAAGATTATAACTTTGCTCACAGGTGTACGAAAAAATTGCCTTTGTATATTTGAATCACTGATTAATATTTTTAAAATGAAATGAAACCAGTTGAGAAGTTTAATCGACAAAGTTTCAGATAATTCGTTGCAATTAAGAAAAAAAGACTAGATTTGAGGGGTGTTTTACTTTATCTTAATTTATTATGTACTACAACAATATGCTGGAACTAACAAAATTGGTAAGGTACACCTTGGAATTCTCCTCGTGAAACGTATAATTATGAAGATTCAGAATAGATAAGTTATGGTTAGGGTTTCCTTATTTTAATATATTTTTATTGATTTCCTGTAAGGTATTAGTGGAATGAAAGTTCATTTGTTCTTCTGTGTCAAAGAATTCGAATTATTTCCATTATATTGGGATTTGCAACGAGTACAGATTATAACATACATCGACTTTGACTTGGGGGGATCATTTTTTTTCCATGACGTATAACGAAGGTACCTAGAGTTAAGGGAATGTGATAAGAGTAAGGGAAAGTAGCATCTGAGGGATCAATCACTCATGAAACTTTTCTCCGAATTGGATGTACCGAATCGTTTCAAACTTTACAACGTGGATATGGAGGCTATAAGAAAGGTCCAGACACCTTTGAAGTTACATTTTTCATGAAAACTTCTTAAAATTTCAATAAACAAATTTAAAAAAAAAAGTGAAATTTCATCGATGTCAGGACCTTTTCAATAGCTTCCATATTCATATTGTAAAGTTTGAAACGATTCGGTACACCCAGTTCAGAGAAAAGTTTCATAAACGACACCTCTTTAATGCCACTTTCATATCACCTTAAAGTGACTGTTTTTTCTTGCTAAAGTTACAACTATGACACGATATTTTCTTAATTAAATCTTTTTGAGATGAATGTTAAAAATGTTCTTACACATAAATTGTCACTATTGGAAATGGGATGTGAGAATGATACACTTTATTGTTCTAAATTTAACAAAGACTTTATTCTTTCTTTAACGCTCAGAGAACCCATCATTACTTCTCCAATCACTCTAGCGAACTAACTACAAAAGGGCAACTGCTGATCTCGGTCAGGACCAGTGACGACTAAATTCTTTCTCTGGACCCTCTTTGCGGAAGTGCGACTCTACGTCGCCTCTTAATCCAAACAACGGTTCTTATCGTTACTGAAAACCCTCCACTAAACACAGGCCAGATTCTCTCTCTCTTTATACGCATTAAACATAGATTGGTTTTTGTTTCATTTATAAACCTCAATCTTCAGGTTTATAATTCCAACAGTTACAATTTTGTCCGATCTTCCCTACTCCACTTTCACTATTCCAAGATGTTTACATTTCCGTAGTAACGGAATAGTAGGTACACACTTTTTCCCCTATAGTCTCTCACTAAGCTCCGGTTTCACCAAACTTGGCTAATGAATTAATCCTTAGTTACAACGAATTGTGTGTTTACATTAACACACGGTTATATAATCAGTGATTTAATCGATGTTGGTGGAACCGGCCATAAATCTACTAATATAAGCCAGGCTTAATCGTCCATACGAAGGAAGTAGAGCAGAGTTTAGTTTAAGCCTCATTTACATTGGTAGAGTTAATAGGGGAGAGTTTACTGATGTACTGTACGGAGATAGAATGTGTACCATTTCACTATCAGCAAAATGTAAACATCTTGACATAGTGAATATTAAAGATAGTAGCGGGTAAACTTGAGTGGATAGTGCATGTAGAATGTCTTCAAAAAACTTCTTCGGTGTAAAAAAAACTGCCAAATACATTTTTATTTCCGACTTCAATTACAAAAATAGCTTAACAATAGAAATCAATTATCTTTGCCAAATACAATAGTACTTTCATACTATTAAAACTCTAATCAGTTATTTTTCCCAAATGTCACAGTATATTTTGCCCCCACATAATACAAGTACATCCATTCCAAAAAATTTGTTTTGCCTCGGAATAATGTCTGGGAAAATGTTCAGTTTTCTACTTCATCTTATAAAATAAAAAAAATATATAAACTAAATCTAACCATATAAATAAAATTAGAAACTCAATTTGAAAGCAACATTTTATTTGGCGAGCACTGGAAGTATACTCATACGACTTATCATCACTATTTTAGTGCTCGCCAAATAAAATATTGTTTTCAAATTGAGTTTCTAATTTTATTTATATGGTTAGATTTAGTTTATATATATTTTTTATTTTATTAGATGAAGTAGAAAACTGAACATTTTCCCATACATTATTCCGAGGCAAAACAAATTTTTTGGAATGGATGTACTTGTATTATGTGGGGGCAAAATATACTATGACATTTGGGAAAAATAACTGATTAGAGTTTCAATGGTATGAAAGCACTATTGTATTTGGCAAAGATAATTGATTTCCATTGTTGAGCTATTTTTGTACTTGAAGTCGGAAATAAAAATGTATTTGGCAAAGTTTTTTTTACACCGAAGGTGTTTTTTGAAGAGTACATTATATTATATAATATCGAATTATTTTGTATAATTCGGAATGGTTTCCGTGACATTATTATCAATCTATCACCATTGCAATTATATATTATTAACATAACATATAATAAAGTACCAATATGCTATGTATATGTACGTTATATTGTTCGTTTTATATAATGGTGTAGGAAGTAATAATATAAATTTTATGTACATGTAACATATACGTTATATTATATGTTATAAAGCATATATGTAACGATTATATTGTTGTTACAGAACTGTATTTAGTATGCCTCTATCTAACTACCCTGGCTGAAAGAATCACTTTGTCTAAAAAGAAAAAGAAATTCTTCTAACAAAAAGATTTTGACTTGCTGTTATCAACAGAATATGTTGTAGGGTTGAGTGAATGAAATTAATACAAATTTTAAACGATATTGTATTTTCTTGAGCAGAGTTTCATCAAGCTTTTATTCATCATTATCAGAAGATTTCCTGTATACAAACGTCTTTGAATAAAAAATTAATTCACTTCAAACAGCGAAAAAGTTTGAATGAATCAATAACATTCCAATGCTAATGTAGAATTTGATAAATTTATGGTAATTCTGGGTTTTTTCTCGAACCCCACCGAATCACGAACTTTGCATTAAATTGGAACAATGTTTAATCGTCATTAGTAACGAACTATATCGAGTATTAAGTTTGAGTTAAATACAATATTTTATTTTAAAAAATGATATAAGTTTCGTTAATATATTCAGTACCTAAAGTCAACTTTATACAAGAAATGTTTTTCATAAAATTATTTTTACTTAATACAAGTCATCGTTCAACATATAACTTCGTTGATTTCTCCATTATCAATTTCGTCGGAGTCAATTTCTTAAGCAAGGAACATTTAGATTACCACAAATTAGTTTCGTCTAGAAAGTAAATTTTTTGTTCAGAGAACCATATTTATTCCGGCCGTTATTCTTCTAAAAATGGTAGTGCAGAATAATTATGAGGAAACCTATGCCAGGGTGCTTATATCGTAACTCTACCGATGTAAACGAGGCTTTAGATACGACCTCGTGTATCCAAGACGGTTATTCTACCAAAATGAATACAGTAGAGTAGCTGGAAGAAACATATGCTAGAGTACCGACTCTACTACTGTAAACCAGGCTTAAGGTGTCTGCCCACGTAACGATAAATCGTAGCGATTTATAATCTGCGCAGTTAAATCGAGTACTATAGCGTACGCGTCATCCCCACGCCAGCTAAATTCGTAGAGACCGGTTTGCCCAGACTTATCGTAGCGATTTATCGTCCCGGGTGTAGCCGCCATATCCGCGCCAGCTGCGTTTGCACAGTTTTATCGAATCGTGGACGGTGGCAACGTCGACCGCTCAGTTCACGCTCGACATTCACTGGGTGATCGTAGTAGCTGCTGTGATCGAGCTAAAAACATCGATGTTCCGCGAAGAGCATTTCGGATTTCGAGAGCACCTAGAGGAATTTATTCGAGCGTACAGAAACGAGCCTTGCCTCTGGATGACGAAATCGAAGGATTATCACGATCGCAATAAAAAGGACGCCGCGTATGGTAGGCTAATCGAAACATACAAGGCGATCGATCCCCATGCTAACCGAGAAATCGTTGTGAAGAAAATAAATAATCTGAGAACTACCTACAAGAAGGAACTGAAAAAGCAACAATTATCCCAAACCTTCGGTGCCGGAGCCGAAGAGACGTATACCCCACGTTTGTGGTATTTCCATCTTTTAGACTTTTTATACGATCAAGAAACACCCAGGACATCGATGTCCGATGTAAGCGAAGATAAAAGCGAGGTATGATTTTATCAATGAAACTCGAATATACGTTATCTATATTGTTCATTCTTAAAGGCCTATATCCATAGTTGGAGCCGCCATTTGGGGCCTGTTAAAAAAATCGGCACATTGTCGCCACGAGCGTTGGAAGTGAAACTTCTCGGATGAAGCGAATTGTTATCAATTATTTCTTTATTATTCTTTTACGAAATGCCCTTACGGGTTGAATACTGGCTTTTTTATACGTAAGAATCCTGACACGCAAAAATTAACATTAATAGTAACTGACTGGGAAATTAATTGATAGGATAACACCCTGATAACAACGAAAACGCTTACATAAATTGCGCCGATCTTAATACATTAAGGCGATGTACGTAATTAACTGCAAAAAAAGAATTGGAATGTGATATCAATGATAACGAGAAGAGATTTTTATGTCAAATTCGTCAAGCTGGAAATACAACCACTGATTGATTTCTTAGGCAATAATGCAAAATTAAATAACAATATCGATAACGTTCACGCAACGCGTGTCAATACTACCACAAAGAGATGACACCCAGCACTGCTGAATGTATAGTAGACGTAATATACTCGTGTATCAATTTCTATTGAATGTATGTAAGATATATATAGATATGAATGAACATCTTTTCTTGCTATACTCAAAGGCCAGATAACCGGATATTAAACATAATATATACATATATCGTATTATACATATTTTAGATGTCTATAGATTGCATATACGGTTAATCTATGTCATCGATATTCATTCCAGACAAATCCTACTGTTTTTTTACACAGAACAATTTTTTTTGCAATTGTCGGAATTTGAACCCGAGACTCACGGGTAGGAAGCAGTAACGCTGACCATGATGCTACCAAAGCCTATGAAGGAATAAATATTTTTCGCACTCGTGAAGACCGCTACGGTACTTTTCGATCGATAATGATACTTAAGGTGATACAAAAGGGTCATCCTATTTTTATAAAACGTGAAAATATTTATAAAACTTTTCTCCAAACTGGGGGCATGGAATAATTTCTAACTTTAGTCCGTGATTATGGAGGCCCTAAGGAAGAACGCGATGCTCGTGAAATTTCATTTTTCGCAAAAAAAAAAATGTAATCTTGGTTCTAGTCTAGGCTAAATAAACAAATGTTTTTTTTTTTCATGAAATTTCATGAGCATCACGTTCTTCCTTAGAGCCTTCATAATCACGTGCTGAAGTGGCAAATGATTCGGTGCACCTAGTTTGGAGAAAAGTTTTATCAATATTTTGACATTTTATATATACAGAATGACATTTTCATATCACCTTAATGCATCTTGTTGTAAACTTATTCTTAAAAAAAACTCATGAATAATTATAAAATTAAAGTCACTTTAAAAATTATAACAGTATGGTATAAAATCATTTTATTTAGAAATGTATAATAAATGTATGCCCATTCATTTTTAAAATACTAATTTCGAAATTTTACTACACTCTTGTATACTAAAGGTGTATGAATTTTATGAATATTTTTAACATATTTCATTTAATATACACAATTTTTTACAGTGTAACTACATTTTTATAAGTTTGTAGAAGTGGAATATAAACTATTAATTTGAATATAGACTATTAATTTAACGTTCTCCAATAGTTTGCATATCTATATACGTTATCTAGACTTCTATGATATATATTCACGGGATATTTTAATTATGCATACCATAGATGATGTAAGTTTTCTGTACTTATGTCCGAATTTGTACGTCCACTATAAGTTTATTATACTTCATATGGACCTAGTAATGCATCATAATTTACATAGTGGTTAAAAATCATGATGTATTGTCAGCAACCAAGGAGGAAACAAATAAAAAATCAGAATATGGACGAAATTAACAGTTTCATCGAGTTGGAATTTAGGTATAAATAGTAAGTATGTATTAAAAATGTTTGGTTACATTCGGTGTCTTTATTTTTCTAAATGTCATTTATGTTCTATGAATATTTGTCATATATATAACATGAGTACAATTTAATATATGAGCCGTTTTTTTTAAAGTAGTACAAGACCACTTTTGGAAAAAAAATGAATTAATGGTACTTTTAGTAAGTTATAGATATCCTCTTTTTATATTTATAATCATACATTCAATGGAGCACGATTCCTTGATAAAGTAATCAAAAGAATTTTAGCTATAAAATGTTATCGCAAAAATATTTTTTTTTAAAGTGGAATAAGTCCATTTCTAATAATCATAGTTAAAACAACTTTCTAATTGTAATTATTATTGATTATTACGTCTTCAGTGTGCATTGCCCTTTAGCAGATATTAGCTAGTGCCTTAAAAACAAAATCGTAAAGAAGATAACAGTATTATTGCCATGATGATGTGGTGAGAAGTAATTTCACTGATTTTGTTTAGTATTCTTACGCAAGTCCTACTGTATGGTTTGCGTTTCTGATACTAACCGATTGAAGCGTGAGTATTATTTAAATATAATTGTTATTAAAGCAGAGAATCAAAGTTTTAGATAAATAATATTTCATACAGTTATTATAATGTGTTCACATACCTCTCAAAAAGACGATAATATCTCAATTTGGTCTGATAGTGATGTTGGTAAGTAAGAGTAATAAATTTTTTCGTGGGAATATTGGAACTTTTTTTAATATAGAAATAAGACCCATGAATATAAGCAAAAGAAGACGAAATTATGATTCAGATGATGAAAGCAGTTTGAACAATATTAATTCAAGATTGATCCAAACTAAGAAGAGGATTAGAATTTTGGAATCTAACAGATTCAACCACTGACAAAGACGACGTTACTAATTTTCGATCACATTATGAAAATAATAATCAGAAGACTAGGAAAGTTAAAAGAAATAAAGGCGGAAAATATTATACAAAAACTGGTAATATTATTCCTGCAAAAATATTCGAAAATAAGGATTGCAAATGTTATTGACCACAAATTTCTATTGTCGGGTCATTTATTTCTTCCAAACAACAGAGACTTCGGAGTTGTGGAAATAGCATTAAAGAAAAAAGATCAATTGTGCCCATAATTATGAAAGTGGTCTAAGTCATATATTTCTTGTTTCGAGATATTTAATGAATTGCATTTGAATAAATTAAATAATATTTTTACATTATGCAACATTTTAATTTCGAGTTTTATTAGTCTTGATTAATGGACATTTATTATGAATATGAAATTTTGCGTGAATTTCATAGGAAAATGTTGTTTTTAAAGGGTGAATTGACTTAGACCATTTTCAAAATTAACTGAATGTCCTATAAATGACTTAAAGTAATAAAAAACTACGAGTTTTATTAAAAACGATAATTTTAATGAAATAATTCATGAACATTTATTAATTATTTTTAAAAAGTAATTCATTTTTATCATTTTAGGCTTTCATCATTATGAGTTTTTAAGATTTTTAAAATGTTCCTGAAAAACTGGAGAGATGTAAACATTATATCTTTGTTTTTCTTCCGTTACTGGTCTACTGGTGGGGTATAATGGAAGTAATTTAATATTTTCGTATATTTTTGGTCTTCCTCTTTTAGGCGAAAGATTCAAAACGTGGAATTTAGAATCATCTAAAGAAGTATTACGTGGTCGTATAATATCTGCAAATCACATCATATCCGAATAGTAATTAACATATTCACATAATATGTACATTGTCATTAATTTACCTGAACCGCTATCCGCGGACATAGTGGTAAAATATCTAAATTATTTTTCCGCCAATAATTAAATCGGAAGAGCCCAACTGAATTAATGCACTTTCAAAATAGAACAAAATGAATTCCATGTATTGTTAGGTAGACCGGAAAGTATTGTCGTTTCTGTTACCGTTTGATTGTCATTTGTCGGCTTACCGTGTAGTTCAAAAACGCGCCAAAGAGGGCCACGTGCCATTTTAAGGTTATGTTTATATAATTTCTTTAAATTTTTTACGTAGACCACTTTCATAATTAACACTAAATGAATTCCATATAATGTTGAAATTACAACCACTCTCTAATGGTTCATTTTTGACAATAACGTAAAAATGACAATGAATTAATTTAGCTTAAAATAATGTGGGGTGAATTACCTGATAAACTCATTTTCTTTTAATTTGGACTTAGACCACTTTCATAATTATGGGCTAATATCAAACAGGAAAAAAAATACGGACGGAGAAATTATAAAATGGTTGAACATATGATGGATGAGGTTTACAAAGGATGAAATGCCCAACATTTTTTACAAAACTAGTCTGGAAGAAAATGTACCATTTAAAGTAATTTTTTTATTTGGAAAACAAGGAAGACCCAAACATCTCAGCAAAATTACTATGTTGCCATTGTATAAAACGTCAATACCTATAACAAGAGAGGAATACAACAATATGATGATTTTACTGCTTTACATACCACCTATTTACTATGAATACTTCACTATGCTAACTGTAAAGGAGAAATAAGTTTAAAATATACATTTTTTTATTTTTAGTTATCTTAACGAAATAATTATATTTTACACTTGTTTGTTTATATCTTCTTTTTTAATATAACTGAAATTAATTCTTAATAAACTTGATTATTCGTGTATTTACACGTCTTCATTGTAATTATTATTATTTACATTAAAAAATCCATTTCAGTAAAGCCAATGTCTATAAAAATATGGACTTAAATTTACTCTTGTTTTTACTTCTTATAATATGTTATTATTGAAAGTGGTATAAGCCCATTTGGAGCTAAAAAATCGTTTATTTTCTTTAACAATTTTAATAATTATTATTGCATAATAAAATTTAACAGGTTTATAGTGCTAAAAACATCACCCGAATTGATTAACGTTTGCCAATATTTTTAAATTAATTCAAATGCAAACCCTTAAATATATCAATGTATAAAAAAATGGATTTATACCACTTTCAAAAATAACGGCTCATATATTAAACAAGCATATATTGAGAGATATAGTAAATCTACATTTATCAACGATGCTGATTAACCTTTGGTAGATGTCTACCAGAGCTATAAAATATTTTGTATGAGGCAAAAAATAAGTAGATATTTGCAGATCAAAAGTGGATATATAATTTTTTTTGTACAAGAGATATAGATACCTATATATGTCGTTTAGATATCTATGACATATATTGTGTAGCCATTTACATAAAATAGGTCTATATATTTACAAAAGACATATTTTAGTTGGATGATAAACACTTTACGTTTGCCGTACCTTATTTATACGAGTAATATACAAATATTGTACTTCGTGCGGTGCCTGGGAAAGATCTTCTTATTGTAACATAAAGTGTTTCACTTAATAAATGTAATTTTAAAATATTTTTTTCTAATTTTATTCAGACATGGTATACTAATTTTATGATATTTTATTCACATTTTATACACGTATGTTATAAACTTAGTACTTCAATGCATACATTTTTGTATACAATTCCTCAAAATTATAACGTAGACATAACATGATTTCTTACATAAATTTATTTAGAAATGTATAAGTGTATTTTAATTTACGATTATGATATCAAATGTATAATTATACTACAACCATATGCACTAAAAGCGATGGAACTTTATGAATATTTTAAGAATCTAGGATGCCTTATGCGGAAATAGTCTGCACTGTTAAAAATATTCATTAACTTTCTACTGTTTCAATATGTGAGATTATGGAAAAATTGAAAATTTGATGATTTAAACATGAATTAGTTTGCATTGATTATGAATTTCCAAATAAACCCCTAATTTTATAACGTCATGTTATAATTTTGTGAAATTGTGTAGGAAAATTGATACACGCCTGTAATAAATGTATATAATGTTATACATTCATATATATAAAGCGTTTCATAATAAAGCGTATAAATAACATCATGTAAAATTAATGTACCATGTCTGAATGCAACTTCTAAAAGATGTTATAAAATTGCGATATTGTTTTAATATTGTAAAATGATGCGTTTGAAGTTGATCTCTCCAAACAGTTTCAAAACAACAATATAGCCATTACACATGCCTTTGTGACACGTCACATGTACGTAAATTTTGTATTACTATTTCCTATGTAATTATATAATACTGTTTTAAAACAAATCTCATACATCTAACATATCGGTAGCACATTATGTATTATGCTAGCAGTATATAGCTGAAATGCTGTTGTATACCAATTTTACGGAACGGTAATCATTCGATAATACATAATATCAATGTCTTTTTTGAATAACTTTTGTTATATATTATGTTATTTCAGTGTTATGTAACTATGATATAGTGTGCTTTGTGAAATACATTTGCATGAGTGCATAGTGGTTCGCCGTCTTGGCAAAAGATCTCGATGCACTGAAAGACATTTTTATCATACTGTAAACAATAACGCGTATAGTCCTTACATGCTATGAATGGTACGTGATTCGCGATACATCGAGCGTCTTGTACGCGAATAATGTATTTAGTCGATGTGTTCAAATTTGGTGCGTCCACATCAGTACGTGGTGGTTCGCTGTGTTGATGGAGAATCTTCATGCGTTCAAAAACATGTTTATCACACTGTAAACAATAACGCATATAGTCCCTACACGCTATGCGTGCTGAGTGTCGCGCAATGCATGGTGTGTCTTGTACGCGAATAAATGCGCATGTTGCCGTACCTTACAGTGACGTGAAACACGTCGAGGAACTTGATCGATGTCGATAAAGAAGATTTTTCTAAATGCCTACGTTGCCGACGTTCGTTTTTATATTGACAGCTGTGTCGAATTATATTGGATATTGTACCAAAAGGCATACTCCACCTGTTGTTTTCGTACAATAAATATCAAGAAATCGAAGTAAAACTCCAAAAATCCTCTGGATTCATGCTTTCTGGGGCCCTAATTGACTGCAGTGGGACCCCCTGCGCCATCTGTGATTTCCAGGTCAATTAAATTTTCACTCCGAGACCCCGTATTACCATCCTTTTAGCATAGAAGCGCATACAACACTTTTTTTGCCTCTATCCCGTTCAAATTCGAGTTTATCGATTACCAGAGTGTTCTGAATTGTCGTAAAATTGTCCTGACCCTTTCGATTCGCATATCACAGCCTTCGATAATTGTATATTGATCGAAATATGAGAGCTCGACGTCATTTTGGGTCTGGTCTGGACTGAGTTAAACAATTTTTTTGAAAAATCCAAAGATTCAATGTGTCAGGACAATTCTTAGATGATCAGGAGTGGTGTGTCAAAGTTCGGACAGTTTGGTCTAATACCCTTAAAAAAAAGTGTTGTATTCGTATCGACTGATTTGAAGGGGTTTCACTTCACCTTAAGGTGAACACTTTTTTTTAAGGGTATTAGACCAAACTGTCCCAAACTTTGACACATCACTCCTGATCATCTAAGAATTGTCCTGACACATTTAAAATTTAGATTTTTGGATACAATTTTTTAACATAGCCCAGACCAGAACCAAAATGGCGTCTAGCTCTCACATTTCAATCAATGTACAATTATCGAAAGCTCTGATATGAGAAACGAAAGAGTAAGGCAATTTTACGACAATTCAGAACACTCTGGTAATTGATAAACTCGCATTTGAACGGGATAAACCCAAGAAAAGTGTTGTATGCGCTTCTATGCCAAAACGATGGTAATACGAGGTCTCAGAGTGAAAATTTAATTGACCTGGTAATTACAGATGGCGCAGGGGGTCCCTCTGCAGTCAATTTGGGCCCCAGAAAGCATGAATCCAGAGGATTTTTGGAGTTATATTCAATTTCTTTATAATTATTGTACGAAAACGACAGGTGGAGTATGCCATTTGGTACAATACCCAATATAATTCGACACAGCTGTCAATATAAAAACAAATGTTGGCAACGTAGGCATTTAGAAAAATCTTCTTTATCGACGTCGATCAAGTTCCTCGACGCGTTTCACTTCGCCTTAAGACGCACCAACGCACCACGCATAACGACCACACCCCGCGCATAGTGCGTATGGCCAGTTCGTCGCATCGATGAATTAGGATGTACCGACGTGTCATGCATCGTAAATCATGCACCATGTACAATGTGTAGACACCTTGGTGCGACGCATTGGGTGGATGGGTGATTCATGGTTCGTGGTGCGTGGTGCGTCGTCCAGTATCGTTCAGTTGTCAAGCATTCGTGCTACAGATTGCACGCAATGGAGTGGACCGAAGAAAAGGCTATTCATTTTATTAAAAAAATGAAAGATTACCCGTGCTTGTGGAATCCCTCGAGTAAAGACAAAAAGAATAGAAATAGAATCAAAGATGCATTCAAAAGTATCGCGGAGGAGATGAAAGTTGACGTTATGTCGTTGAAGAAGAAGAAGGAGAATTTATTTCAGACGTACCGAAATTATAAGAGAAAAATCAACCGCAGTAAAGTGTCAGGATCCCGTGTTCAAGATGTATACAAACCCGTGTGGTCTCTGTACTCGTTACTGGATGATTTTTTACATGATGTTTACGCACCAAAGAAAAGTTATAACTTACTGGCGGTAAGTTTTTCTTTTTTTTATTCGATTAAGGTGGAATGGAACTCCCCTCAAATCAAACAATTCAAATAAGACACTTTTTTTTAAGGGTATTGGATCGAACCGTCTGAAACCTTGACACATGACTCGTGAGCACCTAGGAGTTATTCTGGCACTTTCAAAATTTGGATTTTTCAAATGAATTATTTAAATTACCCCAGTCCAAAACCAAAATGGCGTCGAGCTCTCATACTTCGATCGATATACAGTTATTGAAGGTTCTAATATGAGAAACGAAAGTGTCGGGACAAATGTACGACAATTTAGAACACTGGTACTCGAGAAACTCGCATTTGAACGGAATAAAGGCAAAAACAGTGTCTTATGCGCTTCTGCGCTAAAATGATGGTAATATGAGGTCTCGGAGTGAAAATTAAATTGACACGGAAATCATAGATGGCGCAGAGGGTCACACTGCAGTCAATTACGGTCTCAGAAACCATAAATCCAGAGGATTTATGGAGTTTTACTTCGATTTCCTTATATTTATTGTACAAAAACGACCGGTCGAGTATGCCATATAGTATAATACCGAATATAATTCGACACAACTATCAATATAAAAACAAATGTCGGCAGCATAGGTATTTAGAAAAATCCTTTTTACAGACATCCATCAAGTTCCTCGACGTGTTTCACTTCACCTTAAGTGAATTTTCTTATGAAATTGGTATTTTGGCAGAGGGTTCAAACCAAACATGACATCTTGATTGCTCGAGGGTCGGCCCCTAATTCTCGAAGCTACTTGAAGAATAGAACATTCCTGCAACGATTTAAAAAAAAATTGAAGTTTTTGAGTTCACGACATTTAATTTGCAATTCTAAGGTACATGAAACAAAAAAAAATCTATGGTGGTTTTTGATTCAACTCTCCCTTCGCTAAAAAGGGTACCCTTATAGAGAACCGGTACATTCTAGCAACCCTCAAACGTGTAGGCATATTGGGCCGGTTCTAGATACACGCGTGTACGTGTACACGTATACGGACACACACACATACGCAGGTGGGCTTATGCGGGTGAGTTCCCCTTCCCTTCAACCGTCCTTTCCTACAAGTCCCATTTCCCTTCCCTCCAACTAACTTTCTTACAAACCCCCTTCCCCCATCACCCTGAAACGTTGACGCAACGTTTCCTCTGCCCCCCCCCCCACCCTCCTCCCACGAACGACCCACCTATCCTCGACCTTGAGGTTTGGAATTTGCCGTCCGCCATTCGATTCCACTAATTCGCCATCTGCCATTCGATTCCACGAATTCGCCGTCCACCGTTCGATTCCAAGAATCGTGAATCGGCGCCGTTGAGCACCAGAAGATTTGCAGCGAAGCTCCCCGCGATGATTCCAAGAACTTTGTCCGCCGCCGCCGATTTTCCGGTGACATCCATTATCTCCCTCGATGTAGGAATTCGTCGGCTCTCGTCGGCCGTGACGTATTTCTCAGAATTTGTCGGTTCTCGTCGGTCAAAGACAAGACTCGCGGTACGCGCGTATAGGTCGACGGCGATGGCGACGACGGCATCCGCTATCTTTCAAAAAGATGATCGCGATTCCAAGAACTTTATCCGCCGATTTTCCGGCGGCAGCCGTTATCTCCCTCGATGCAGGAATCCGTCGGCTCTCGTCAGCTGCGACGTATTTCTGAGAACTTGACGACTTCGGAGAATTAGGAATCCGAAGGCTCTCCTAGACGTCAGACGATAGCACTTTGGAACCTTCCAGAACCTTTACCTCAAAAAGCGGCAGCCGCTACCTTTCAAAAGGGTGATCGCAATTCTAAGAATTTTGCCCACCGATTTTCGGACGACAGCCATTATCTCCTCATGATGATGATCAGAAGGAAGGGTTGGGTCGATTAATAATTCTCCTTGCAGAAATAAAACCCAGACACTCCAAATTTTATTCATTAAACCAATAACAAATCGGATTTTTATCCGGTACCTCTTCTGGAACCTTGATTCGAAATTGCATTGCTAGAAGAATCTCTCGCACCGTTGACAGAATTCGGTAGATTTTGATTCACCGTTGCGTATGAATTATTGTTGTCGAAAATGATACGTCTTTCAAGTAAATCCGAGCGCCGCACCCACTCTTGGTACCGATCTCGTCGAAATTGTTCTCTCCCTTGTATCTCGTTGAAATTGCTCTCTCTTCCTCGTGTCTCGTTCTCTTCCGTGCGATTGTCCCATTTTTTAGGTTTCCAAATGTCACCTCAACGTTTACCGTTTGTATACTAACTCTATGGTTTCGTTACGCCGTCATTTATTGCTATCCGAATAGTCTGGAAACGCGCGAAAGGTTTAGTCATGCAAGTGGTAGGGTCTTATCGTTTAAACAAATCCTAGAAGACCTTGAAATCTTCGCGTATATAAACCTCTTTGAGGAATTCGTCTGACCGTGGAGGCAATATTGGACCAAACGTACGGTGACTATAGTCTCCCGTCATAGCGAAAGGGTTAATCAGTTCGTACCCATATTTCAATTCGGTGTTAAATTACGAAGGTGTAAATTTTCCCATTGGTTTGAAGGACGTGCCAAAGTTTGAAAGGATGAATAATTTGAAAATTAACATTTAGGTATAGAACGCGGAGAAAAATAGTAGCGTGATTGTACCGATTTATCTAAATCAACAACATTCGGATAACGAGACGATTCATCTACTCATGTTAGAAACGGCAATTTTTTCAAACGGTGCAAATGCTAACGTGTATCATTTCGCTTGGATTCAAAATCTATTGCGACTTTTAAGTTCGCAAATTTCTAAACGAGAGCATGAGACTAAATTGTGTGATCAATGCCTGTGTCATTTTAAAACAAAAAATTCATTCGAAAAACATAAACTAGATTGCGTAAATTCGAATAAATGTCGAGTAATTTTACTCGATGAGAAGGAACAAATGTTAAAGTTTAAGAATTATAAATATCAAGGGGCGTACCGTTCGCTGTATATGCCGACATTGAGTGTATGTTGGAACCAGTTGCCAATACACTTCAATCAGGAAACATGGCACCCGTTCAAAAACGTGTTCCACACAGCATCGCAGTAATTTTTTCAAAATTAAATAATGACGAAATTTCCGAAACTAATTACGAACATGCATCTAAAGTCTGGCACACTTTCGGTATTCAATATTAGGAGAATATTCCGATTTATATCTGAAGACTGATGTTACACTTTTAGCTGATATATTTGAAAATATTCGGCGTAACTGCTTCTTCACATATAAATTAGATTCTCTACCTTATTATACTGCATCCAGACCTGCTTTCGATGCCATGCTCAAGTGTACGGGTATCGAATTGGAACTTTTCGATGATGTGGAGATGTTGCTGTTTATCGAAAAAGGTATCAGTGGTGACGTGGCTCAATGTTCAAACAGGTATGCCAAGGCTAACAACAGATCTATGGGACAGGATTTCGGTGAAAATAAGGAAGAATCGTATCTCATGTACTACGATGTTAATAATTTGTACAGTGCAGCTATGAGCCATTTCTTACCTTTTAAGGTGAAGTGAAACCCCTTTCAAATCAGTCAATTCGAATACAACACTTTTCTTTAAGGGTATTGGACCAAACTGTCCGAAACTTTGACACATCTAAAACTTTGATCATCTAAGAATTGTCCTGACACATTGAAAATTTGGGTTTTTTGAAAAAAATTTTTAATTTAGCCCAGACCAGAACCAAAATGGCATCGAACTCTCATATTTCGATCAATATACAACTATCGAAGGCTCTGATATGAGAAACGAAAGGGTCAGGACAATTTTACGACAATTTAGAATACTCTGGTAATCGATAAACTCGCATTTCAACGGGATAAAGGCAAAAAAGTGTTGTATGCCCTTCTATGCTGAAACCATGGGAATACGAGGTCTCGTAGTGAAAATTTAATTCACCTGGAAATCACAGATAGCGCAGGGGGTCCCTCTGCAGTCAATTTGGGCCCCAGAAAGCATGAATCTAGGGGATTTCGGGAGTTTTACGTCGATTTCTTGATATTTATTGTACGAAAACGACAGGTGGAGTATGCCATTTTGTACAATGTCGAATATAATTCGACACAGCTGTGAATATAAAAACGAACGTCGGCAACGTAGGCATTTAGAAAAATCTTCTTTATCGTCGTCGAGCAAGTTCCTCGACGTATTTCACTTCACCTTAATTCATTGCAGTGGGAGGAAAGTTTTGCTCAGATTGACATTCTCAGTATTTCCGATGATCATCCTATAGGATACGTCCTCGAGGTTGACATAGAGTGCCTTGAAACACTTTGAGACGTTTTCAAAAATTTGCCACCATGCCCTGATCATTATTTACCTCCTCTCTCAGGAGGTAATACAACGAAATTAATGACAACGCATCTCTCGAAGAAAAACTATGTTGTTCATTAACAAAATTTAGAATAATATTTAAATCTCGGCATGAAGTTAACAAAAATTCACAGAGTTCTAAAGTTTAATCACGCAGCATGGCTAAAAAAATATATAGATCAGAATTGAGAAAACAGTCTAAAAATGATTTCGAGAAGAACTTTTATAAGCTCATGAACAATGCGGTCTTTGGTAAAACAATAGGGAATATTAGGAAGCAGAAAGATGAGGAACTTATTACCAAATGAAAAGGACGATATGGTGCAAAAGCCCTTATTGCAAAATCAAACTTTCATAGCTGCACCATATTCGACGAAGATATGATTATAGTTGAAATGGGTCGTACAAAGATTAAATTTAACAAACCTATATACGTAGGATTCTCTACTTGAGATATTTCTAAAATATATATTTACGATTTTCACTATAATTATATCAAGTCGACATACGGGGAACGAGCAAAATTACTGAATACCGACACGGATAGTCTGTTGGATCATTTTAATGTCTCCGACATATACGAATGGATTAAGTGCGATTTCCATAGATTCGACACTTCCGATTATCCTCCGAATAACGTATACGGAATACCATTGGTAAATAAGAAAATTATAGGGTTAATGAAGGATAAAAATAATGGGAAAGTAATGAGTGAATTTGTAGGATTGCGAGCTAAACTGTACGCTTTTGGAGTTGTAGGTGAAAGTAAAGATAAAAAGCGTGCGAAGGGGGTTAAAAGCTCCACATTAAGGAAAATTACATTTGACAATTATTTTGAATGCCTTTCAAATCATACTGATTTAATTAAAACTTAGAATTTCATTCAAAGCAAGAAACATACAGTATGCACAGTTCGACAACGAAGAGTACCACTACGTTGGCGGGACGTTAAAAGAATCGTTGTACCAGGTATAACCGTTACTTTTCCATGGGGGTACAGAAAGAATGAAATAAACCAATAAATGTATAAAACTGCCTACCCTTTATTTTCATACCTTTTTACAAATCCGACTATTATGCGAATCGTCAAACCCTAGCTATTTCACAAAAAGCCTATTTCCGCGCTTTCTGAGCACCTTTTCTATAAGATAAATGTCAGGATATTTAACGCTGTTGAGTTCCTGATCATAGAAACCGCCTTCGATGAGATGATCTTGATAGTCTTTGAGTTTATACGTCACGTATTTTTAACTTGACTTATCGTAAAAATTTCTGTCGTCCAGTTAGGTGTATAGCCTTTCTTGAAAACGTGTCTAAATTTATTTACTCGCACTTTATTTCCCACTTTAAACTTTGATCGTTTAAGCGTAGATTTAGTCTTAAAATTGTTGAACACCCGTTGCAGTAATATCTTCTCATTCTTAGCGGTAACATCTGCCTCATATCAATGGTTCGGTGTCTGCTGTTATTGTAAGAGGATACCAAGCCCGATAAAAGATCCAACCACCGATGATTGCCCCGTAGGCTAAATTGCATCCACATTTTACTTTTCAGAGTCCGGTTGAATCGCTCGTAGATCGATGCCTTCAAGTTGCTAAATGTCGAGTACAGAGTAATACCATAATTTTGCATCAGATCCTAGAATTCGAAATTATAACATTTTCGACCTCTGTCAACGTGTAATTTCTTTTCTACATGAATTCGATCACCCTCAAAGCTTATAGATCAGTAGCCTATTCTTAGCAAGTTTGCGTACACCATAGACCGTATCCAGAGTTTTCTCTTTATTGGACCGTAACATATCGAGATACTGTTGCATCGAATCGTCATTCTTATCCGCTCCTTCGGTATCCTTTTTTTTTTTCTGAGAAACCATCTTTTGTCGACTCGAAGGATTCATCGACTGCATCATCTCGTTTTATTTCTTGTTTTATCTCATCCTCGACAAGGTTACGCTCCGTTTCATGTACTAATTTCTGAAGTGGGGACACTACCGGTTTAAAGACATCACTCATCGCTCGTTCGATATTCTCTTTAGAGTAAGTCCGGGATAGTTGGACCATGTTTTTTTAAAGTCATTTTTTCTGAAATTTCGCAATGTCTAGGATTTGGTATATTTTTTATAATATGTATATATGATCTTGAACAATTGTAAGCACTTCTCCAGCTGTTACACTAGTCACACTTGAAGTTATGATTTTTTCTTTTTTTTTTTACTCGGTAGTCCATCTATCCCAGGGGTACTCGGGTTAGATGGACCACCTCCTAGGGATTGATGGACCTCTGGTATACGTTACTAAATCAGGGTGTAGAGTTATAAACTATTTGAAAAAGGATAAGTAAATTTGATAGTCAATATACTTAGAATATATAGGTAGTCTGATTTATATTCACATGGTTCAGAACATTTAATCATTATGCAGTCATCTTCTTTCGATTTCCATTTATCCATCCATCTATCCACCCATCCATACATCCATTTATATAGAAAGTAAAGCCCTAGTAGGAGATATGGTCCGTCTATCCCAGGTTTTTTCAAGTAGTCCATCTATCCCAATTATCGGGGGAAGATGGACCAGTTTCCCGTCCAGACAAACAACGCTACCGGCATGCCATTTTAGGTCAAGATTGTACTCAAGTATACACTTGAGTTATAGGATTGATCTTACGTCGAAATCATTTAAACTAACTTAACCACATATCAAATAAATCCAGTACAAAATATTTGTCAACTCACCAAAAGAAATAAACAAAGTTTTCTTCTAAAATACGCATGAAACTCATGAGCAAAACTAAGCGTGGTTCCGTCTACTCAAGAAGAACAACTTCTGACAACGACTGCAGCGCTGCTGTGACGCACCATCCAAATATTCGACTAGTCCGTCTATACCGGTGGTCCATATATCCCGGACTTACCCTACCTAATTTTATCATTCGATTCTTTTTGCAAAAATATCTTGCGTCAGATAGCTAAAGCGATCGCAAACAGCGATTTTTTGCTCCTGAAATTTTTCGCGTTGCATATTGTTGTCGCTAAATCTAAAACGCTACTGTGTTCATTTCTTCAATGATCGCTTATTTATCCGCATGAAGCAGTCAAATCCTGTTCCGTATCTACCTCCGTCGAGCTCGCTGTCCTTACCGATAACGAGAAACCCGTACTTATCATCGTTCCAGCATACCGAACGTAGGTCTTTAAATTGCGCGTAGGTCATGTCCGTGTTTACATGCTTGTCGTACACATGTTTGAGATTCATTTCATCCTGCTTAATGAGTGCCAACGGATTGGCGCTATCGCGAATAACGTGTTCAGGATTACGAGCGTGACAAGAAACAGTCAACGTCTTTGTGCCGACCCATGCTGAAGAAGGATCTAATATTATCTTGCTTCTCGCAAGCTATGTCGTCGTAAATAATTATCGAGTTTCGGCGAGCTTCGTTTGGTGACATCACTTGCTCGTAAAATATCTAACACCATTCACGGAATCGAGTAAACGTTTGAGAAACTTGTATTTCGGTTGATCCAACGATTTTTAATATACATAAACGTTCTTGAATCTCAATCCATTAGGGTGAGTTATGAGAGTGAGTAACGCGTTCGTTTTGCCACAATTGGATGGTCCGCAAAATACCGCGTATGCTGTTCGGTAATAATTCACCGTGTCTCTTTCTTCCTTTCTCCACTCGCGCCAATTCGTCGAAATTCATCACAGGCAACTTTGAAGACTGTATCTCGAACCTCATCTCTCTTGCGATTAATAAAAAAACTATAAATACCGGATTTATAAAGATCGCCGTTCAGTTGAAAAGGTTTTGCGACAGAGGGTGGATATGATCGTGCATGGTAAATCCAAACGTATTTGCATCAACCCCCTCGACGCTGCTTGCAAAGAGCAGGACATCGCCTACGCGAAGAATCGAGGAAATCTCGAGCAGCAAGGGGTAGCGGACAGGGTACTGGCCGACAAAGCTTGGAATCGCGTTTTAGCCAAAGACGCGAGTATGGCTGAGAAAGCGGCCGATTGGACCGTCACGAACGTAATGAAAGCTAACTCGAAATTTTGAATGGAGAACAAGAGGAAGAAGCCTAAAGCGATCACGCTGCGAAAAGTTATCGACGCGGCGATACGATCGATGATTCCGAGTAACGATGCGAGCATCGCTATCAAATCTGCCCTCAAGAGGGCGGAGATGGTCGTTAAACAAGCGGGTGGAAAACGCAACGTTCGTAAACCGCGCGTTCTACCCGTACCATCAAAAATTGGAGGCTTCCTACCGTTTCTCGTTCCCGTGTTTGCGGGTCTCAGTGCCGCTGGAGCGTTGGTTGGTGGAGCGGCAGGAATTGCTAAAGCTGTAAACGATGCGAACGCATCCAAAGAACAATTGAAGGAAAGCGAGGCATAACAAGGCGATGGAAGCCAATGCACTGAACAAGGGGTTATACTTGAAACCCTATAGGAAAGGACTGGGTATTCACGTGAAGCTAAAAAACTTGAAACAAAACTACCACACCGGGCGTTAACCGATGCAGACTTGCTCAAGTACGCGAAAATCGTTAAGGGCGCTCACCACTCCAGCGATTTTGCAGGGCCTCACGGGAACAACGATTCCGAACGTATTTCTAAACCGGTCGAGCTTAACGAGTGTTCATATCGAAGATGAAACGTTGACCCGTGTTTATATGAGAGAGATTTTCGATAAGTGGTCATTTTCATGTAAAAAAGTGCAACGACATAATTTCAATGCCCTTTTAACTAGGAAGGAGGTGTTTGATCGAAAATCGCTCCCATATAAACACACGTCAACGTTTTATCTTTAAAACGAGCACTCGTTGAGCTCGATCGGTTGAGAAATACGCTCAAAATCGTTGTCCCCGTGGAGCACCTTTTTCAGGATTTTCGGGTTTCTCGCGAGGAATTTGGGCATTCCTTGGCAACCGTTGCCGACTCTAGGCGCAGCGTCCAATTGGCGTGTGCGGGCGGCCGGGCGTCACCCACGTTTCGGCACCTGGTCCAGAGGCGTCTAGCCGTTGCGTGAGTCCTATACGTGCAAAATATGCACACATTTTTCGCCCGTTGCTAAATACCGCCTATTGTGCGTCACGTCTCCCTCATCCGAGCGAGAAAGTACGTTTTGGTTACCTCCCACCGAATTCGATGCTAATGTCATCTAGCGGAGGAAGTCATCGTCCCCACTTTGGTGGCGAACGCCGTTAAGATACCGCATTTCTGCGGGGTCTTTATGCGGAACGCTATGCCGAAAGATGGACCAACCAGACACGAATCGGGGATTGTTAATCTCGACGACGAAGGTGGTCCCGGACATATTGGGTCGCATACAAGAATACGAACGATCGAGTCGTTTATTTCGATAGTTTCGGTAATCTTCGACCGCCTTTGGATCTCATGAGATATCTCGGTGTTGGTAGTGTAGAGTACAATTATGAACGATATCAGAAGTATGATACTTTCGAATGCGGACACTTTTGTCTAAAGTTTCTTTGCGGGCAACTAAATCGTAGGAATAAGTACAGTTTATATAAACGTAGTGCATAGTTTCATGACGTCACTTCATTCGTTTACATTAGACCTAACAATAATACGTTATGCAGCGAAGTTAAGTGTAACCGTGACATTAATTTTCTATCGAACGATTCCATAGATCGTCTATTGGGCTTCACTCCACGCGTTTTGAAAACCAATATATTGCATACGTCCGATGTACCTGTAACCATTCTCAAAGTAAACGCTTTGCGAGTCGAATGTAACATTACCGCTGGGGCCTACATTAACGATCGTAAGGTGCATACCATGCACGAATTCTTCCCGGTCGTACCACCGGGATCATAGAGGTGCCATCGCACGTCATTTACCTACCGATCGCGACCAAGACCATAGATCATTTACAGTTTCGAATAGTCGATCAGGACGGAGACTTGGTGAATTTTCAAGGAGAAGTCATAACGATAAAGCTACACGTTAAATCCATGCAATAATGGGAATCGTTTATAATAGAAAGATCGGTAGCGGTTATAATAGCAAGCCGATATGCCGAAAAGAAATCAGTCATCTACCGCTTCTCAAAGCGTTAACACGTCAAAACGAATTGTTCCTGATAAGCCTGGGGCTCAAGGTCGTCGGAAGAGGAAAGTAAAACGTTCGTTCTGCTGTTGCATCGTTTTCATATGCTGTATACCATGGAGGAAGAAACGTTGAATATTCGGGTGCCCGTCATCTTCGATGAGTCCATAGCGCACTGCGAGACGCATGCGCACCAGCCTTACGCCTCGTCAACGTTCAACAACAGCGATGAGATTCGAATCTCCGTTCAACACCAAGACCTGTGCTTACTACCGAGCAGAAGTTCGTTACACGTATACGGGAAGCTGGTTAAGAAAGATGGGTCTACGGTGACTGCTAGTACGTCTCTGGTCAATAACGCCATCTGTCATCCCTTCGAGAAAATTCGCTATGAAATGAACGCCATCGAGATCGATCGAAACAACAACGTTGGTCTCACGAGTCTCATAAAGGGCTACCTTTCCCTAACACCCGATCAACGCGCATTGATGGAAATCGCCGGTTCGCTCACCAAGCAAACGAAATTGACCGATGCAGTCGGTTACTTCGATCTTTCCAGACCGCTGAGCATGATACTGGGATTCGCGGAGGATTATCGCAAGACCGTCGTCAACGCTAAACACGAACTGATTCTGACGAGGGCGAAGAGCGACACCAATGCGGTCATGCAAACTGTTTCGGAGGAATACAAAGTCCTAATTCAGAAGTTGGAGTGGTTGATACCGTACGTGAAGGTCTTGGATCGACGAAAGACATAATTGTTGAAGTTTATCGAAAAAGATGCATCCATCTCCAATGAGCTTTCGTACCTGGGAGTTGTACCAGTACCCTTTTCTCCCAACACTTCGAAACACGTATGGACCGTCAAGACGTCGACACAGTTGGAAAAACCTCGATACGTCGTCTTGGGTTTCCAG